CTTCTCAGGAGTTAAAGTCCAAAAGGTTTATTGAAAATTTTCTTTAGTTGATCAGTAATGGGACATCGTAATATGTTTCCAGATGTTGTAAATATCAGATCATATTTATTAATATAATGAATTCTTGATCAGTTACACAATAATTTAAATTATTGTAATCATTATGAGAATAATGATTGTGAAAGTTTGTGATCAAGCATTTCCTTTGTTTTTCTGGTTCTCAAGTTCTATTACGAATTTACGAGACCTAAGTGAGCTACATGATTAGCTTATCTATAAATCAAGAGAAAGATTAGTAATAGCTTATTGGAGCATTAAAAAGTGAGTTTCAAAGATGATGTTCTCATACTGCTTTTGTTTCATCAAAAAGTCCTATAAGTGTCTCTTCATGCCTTAAGTCTAAAGCACGAGAGAAAACCATTCCATATAGCTACAAACTGTTCATGCGCATCCTCGATCTGATCTGTTACGTTGTTGGTATGGTGATTATATTTGTCCTTGGGATGAAATTTACTGCTTTAATTCTACTGGAAATCCACTATGTGATGAAATTACGAATATCATTGAAACATTGGTAAATAGATATATTATAAATATTTATTTTAATTTTTCTTATGTGAATAGACGTAAGAGACCAAAAGATATGTTGGAATGAAGAAAGATAATCAAATTGATTGAATCAACCGTGATGGATTACATGGCCGGTAGATGTTTCACAGTTGTTGAGCTAATTACATTTCATTTGCCTTAAATTTTATATTTTATTAATTGTATTGTAAGTTATTGTAGTGCTCTATACAACCGGAAAGTACTAAATGCGGGATAGATTCACATATGAGATAATTTCAATTCAAGCATACAAAGAATGAAATTAATAAGCCTAGTGTTGATTTGGTATATAATTGTGCAAATAAATAAAAGTCAATAGTTTAATGCGGTACAAGTTATTAAAGGTATATAATAGTGAAGGTGCATCTTCTAATGCAAATGACGACACTATAGGCACCAATATGATATACAAGCTAAGGCAGAAACGCAAAAATGGCACCAATAACGTCATTTGCAAATTAACCGAACATTCAGTTGAATCACTACACGATAATTCCAACTTAATTGATTCATCGGCAACAATAGGAGTCTATACCCAATTACACGGTGGTCCCGGCAAATACTTATTGGTTTGTCATGTGATATATATTCACCGTACCGCATAATTGGCAATTTCAGATATATGCATGTTTGATCATAGTATAAGCGCGTAATTAATTGCATGGGCTACTGTGGTGGTCAGGACTTGGGGATGATCAATTTGATCGGTGGTATTACTTGATGAGAGTGTAATTAATTACCCTGAGGTAGTGTAATTGAGTGACCAACGAACGTCAATGATAAGCTCATGTAAATACAAAATATCTATTGCCATTAGTTTATTTGTCCATGATTACCCTTGTCGAAATGAAGGTTTTCTATTCATCTGAAAATATCGTTAGTTATCCTAGATACGATATAACTCATCACACCCAAAATATACATTACCTCACCATCTTAGCTTGTAGTTGATACACTAATTGTATTATGTGTATGTTAAGCCATTATATTCAACCCATCCATAGAGTATCAACTGTACTGTTGGCCGGTATTCCCACTCAATTACATTGCAAAGGGATTAACTATATATCTATTAATTAATTCAGATTAACTAATTGTTACATTGAATTGGGATTTGGGACAAGATAATACATGCATCGTGGTGTGGTGAATTCATCCTGGTAACCCTTACCCAAGGAGTAATATATACCACTGCACATGGATCAAATCATCAATCGTTATTAACATTCCCAATTATCTGATCCAACGTATGTCATCAATTAAGTATATATAGTACTCCTATTGAATGTTAGATTATGTTATTGGAAGTATTCACAGTGCCATCTTGATATGTCGCCCAAATATAGGCCGGTATCCACTGCTATATATGACAGTGTGGACGTGCCGCATCACTATTATATTTCTGTGTATACACGTAAAAATATGTTATACACTGACCAACATACATGTTATAGTTTAATTATGCAAATGTGGAGAGGTATAATTACACCTTAGGACGGAGTCTATACCCTCATCATCAATCGTTATTAATATTTGTATGGGCGGGAATATCGTTGCATGCATAGTCCCCAATATTTAAATACAATACAACTACGTACCAAAAGCTATGCATGATTTACGTACTATTTATTACTATCCACTCATACAATTATCTCTTCTCTTTAAAAAAATTAGTCACACTATCACATCATCTTATAAAAATTATTACCTCTATCCCGTTGCGTCCATAATGTGTAATCGGCACGTCAAATTGATGAATTACATAATCTAACCATGAAATTAAGCTCCCAGTTGTATTCCTTAAGTTGCGGTGCAACCACCAAATGATTATGTTGGTCTTGGTCATCTCCAGCTGCACAAATGAATAAATTTTACAGTTAGATCTCGCACAAAGTTTTGTTAGTATGATTTACCTTTCTTGTGTGATTTGTGTGTTATTACACAACATACATACTCTAAATATATACTAGTACAGTTGTGGGTGTTCTTTAGGGATATGATTGTAAGTGTACAAATGATACACATTAAACCTTTTATGTTGGCTAATTTAATTGATAAAATAATTAAAATTTATTTTGGAAATTAACCTATGGACCGTCTCCTATCACACGCATTCTACAGCAATAGCAATAATTAGGCGCAAATAATTAAATGGAAGTCGAAAGTATGGGTCTGATATTTAGCCAAAGGATGGTTTATTTATTGTGGTGGTAATTTATTCTATAGTATGGCTTTGAGTTGGTAAAGGCGTATGGATAGCACATATTGGGGAATTGGTTGAGTGAATTTCAATATAAAAGGATGGGATGCTTACCTCTTTATTTCACACGAATTAGAATATTATTATTTTTGAGAGAAAGTTTCCAGAATCACTACTTCAACAAATTACTTTATACTATTGTTAAGGAAGTGTTGATCGTAGTGGGTCAGTTCGACTGCATCAGGATCAGTAGCATAACAATTGAGGTCAATGAAGGCATGCACGTACAATCCTGAGTAGATGTTAGGAAGGTGTTGTAGTGGTAAAGGCTGAGGGCCATTTGTATTTACCTCTTGTAATACTTCTTGGTGAACATCTATAGTGGATGGGCAGACGTGAGTTGCCCCGCAAACGTAGGAGAAGCGCTCCGAACTGCGTGATCAATCTCTGAGTACTTGTTTTATTTTTATGCTTTTATATTTCATTATTTATGTTCATTAAATAATCTAATTAATTGATAATGTAATATCTCTTATAAAACAAGTAAAACATTTAAAGGTATAATTGAATTCAAGATTCACGGTACAATTTTGATGATGTTGGATTTATTACACCCACAATATAATGCCTCATGGCCAACGGCAAATTAAAGGGGAACCAAGTCAAATCTATATATGTACGATTTTTCAGGGATAAGGCAATAACGAGTTAAAAGCACAAATATGAAGATAATACGTTGGATGTAAGATTGATGTACTTACAAATACATTTTATTTTTAAAATGCCTTTAATTGTTCTTAAATATAGGGTTGGAGATTCAACCTTTAGGGAGAAGAGTTCAAATATAATCATAGATTCAAAGTAAAAATTTAGAGTTTAGAGTAGTTGTCCAATGTACACAATTATCAAAGAGGTAATTATTTTATAAGTAATGTTTCACTGGAACTTTTGGTGGAGCTTCATCCAATGTCCCATGTGGGAAAATAAGGTACCATCAAATAGAAACCAACTAGCCCATTAATCAAATTAATATTCTGCAACTCATAAGTTGAAGACAACAGCAAAATCATAAAATATTGAGACAAATTACTAAGGCATGAGGGAAGACTATAACATGCAATGCAAATATGCAATTCAGTTGTAGATCGATTGTTTATCTTTTTTCTCCAACAAGGAGGTATAAGTCTGAAAATCCAAGAAACACGTACTCAAGACCTTTTCTAATATTCCACCAGTTGTATAAAATTAAATAGCAATACCGTACCCACCGAGGAATTATTACTTAATTTTCTTGATTTAATTTTCAGCTATATATGCTCTCATTTATGTTTCTTTTCCCCTTCCCCCTCTTCTAGAAGAACACTTGATACTCAAGAGATAGAGAGACTGAATAAATATATGTAAAGGAATGGGAAATTTGAGCAGTCGCCAATGTTGAGGCTTGTGGATTTGGATTTTAAACCTAAATTTCTACACCCATTTATGGGAAAATTGATTTTCTTTTTAATTTTCAACACAATAAGCTTTCTCCTTACTATTTTACCCAACTAACAGAGACAAAGAATTGATTTCCATCTTTTCCTAAACAATTTCGATGTTCCAAATGCAGCATTATTAATAAATACATGAGTCAAATTGAGTGATGCTCATTGCCTCATTCATCAAAATAACCACGCGCATTAGAAAAAAAGATTGGTAAACAAATCTTAAAGTCTATGATACTTGAGCCCTTTACTATTGTCACCTATCCATGATGTCTACCTCGCTCACGGATTAAATGGTCATACCTACACAAAATATTTGGGAATGCATATACTGATCTATATGGGGGCGCATAACCACTTCTACCAAGGTATCAATCAGCAGTAACCACTACTGGAAATTATGGAATTTCCGACCAACTGGAAGTGATCTTAAATCAAGTTGATACCAAAAAGTGGTCAGAAATAACAATAAAGGTTTTTCCGGATACCAAAAGTAGTCGGAACAAGGCTTTCGACTTATCATTTTCAGGTGGTTGAAAATTCCATAATTTCTAGTAGTAAACGTTAGTTCAAGCTTCTCTCTAATTATTGATGTGCTTTGTCGTGTTTCTCTCTCAGTTATTTTTCACTAGAGAGACTTTAGGATTATATTTTTCATAAGATTAGACGCCTAAAGTCTCGCTCCCACACAATGACTAATTTCCTGGCTAATTCTTGGGAGAGAGGCGCTCAAACACCGTACCGTGACTAATTTCCTGGCTGATTCTGGATAAACAGATGCTCTGATTCTTGGTAGACAGGCGTTTGGACATCCTGACTAATCCCCTAGCTGATTCTTGGTAGACAGGCGCTAGCTTGAGAAACTCGTAGGTTGTGAACATGGTTGTAGTAGATATGGACATGGAAGCCCACCTCGGACCCAATCCTCTGTAACATGCCGTGAATCCACCTTCCTTAACCAAGTTCCTAACCGTCTTGGTCCCTTCGCTGTCCAACACTTGCAGTCTGATCTTGATTGTGTCGAGTGGCATTGTGACCAAGGCTGAGACGTCGCTGGCCAAGGTGGCGCTCAGCCCTTGGACGGCCACCACGGCCTTCCCATCCGGCCGAAAACGGCTGCCGTCGTCCTCCTTCTTGCAACCATGGCAACCAATGCAGCCGCAGATGAGCCTGTGAGCCACAGAGTATGAAGCCCACCACACTGCGTTTGAAGGAGCGTAAGTTAGAATCGAAATCCCAAACCTTCTGTACAATCCCCTAACTCCATAGCTGCAAATTATCTTCCTAAACGCATCTATTCCGCCATTGTAGCTCTTCAACCCCACACTACTACTACTACCCTGAACCATTAGCCTCTGGCTCACTACGTTTATGGGGGTCCACACTAACTGCGCCGCCATGGCGGCGCTCAGCTTTGCCGCGGCGGCCTTGGAGAATCCTAGCCGGACGGTGGCGGTTCCTACGTTACTCTTGGTCATCTCCAGCGCGCCCATGTAAAGCGATTATAATAAAAGCCTCACTAAGGATCCTAAACTCAAGTATTCGGAAAGTGGGCACCATCGTCCGCACAAGTCCGCAACTTAGGCACCATCGTTCCGCATAAGTCCGCAACTAAGGCACTAGCGTGCGGAGCAAGGATCGATACGGTTCACAACACCTAATTACAATGGTAACTTTCATACACACAATAAGACAATATTGAAGAAGGATTTTTGTATTGGCAAAAGAAAAATAATAGGAGTTACAATATACTCTCTATTTCTTTCTACTAGCAATTTCTATGCTAAACTATCTAATTGGATACAAGATGGGATGAGATGGGATGATGAAAATGACAGAATGAACTCCCTATTTATAGTAGAGGATTAGGGGTTGTTTTGTAGCTAGCCAAAAGTTTAGGGACTAAATTATAAATTCCTTTGTTAACAATTGTGGCTGCCTAACTTCTTTCAACAATTTTGTCTACTGATTTGCTGACAACTTTGTTGAATTTGGGTCGCTGCTATCACTGCATAGTATGCTCCCATGTTCCCATGGTTTGACTTTGACTTTAAATACTTACACAAATGATTATGTTGGGCGCACATATATGCTTGAGGATGGAAATATATATATATATATATATATATATATATATATATATATATATATATATATATAGATAGATAGAGAGAGAGAGAGAGAGAGTTAATACCCAAAATCGTCCTCGACTATAGTGGTTTTTTTCAATTTCGTCCTAAACGACTTTGGTGACCTAATATCGTCCCAGACTTTTGTGTTTCGCTCAATTTAGTCCCAGACTTTTGTGTTTTTGCTCAATTTAGTCCCTCATTTGTTATTCTGTCCATTTAGTGTTAAATAAATAGACAATTCAGTAATTTTAATATTGACATCTCTTTACTCATAGACATGTGAACTGCGAAATCCTTTTTTTTTTTTTTAAGAATTACTCCCAGAATTACTCCTAAAACTGCAAATATAAAATTTGATTTGCAGGTCCGGGAGTAATTCTGGGTGTAATTCGTACAAGAAAGAGGAATTTCGCATTTCACAAGTTGAAAGTAAAGAGAGATCAATATTGACATTACTGAATTGTCCCTTTATTTAACACCAATTTGACGAAATAACAAATGGAGGACTAAATTGAGCGAAACACAAAAGTCTGGGACGATATTAGGTCACCAAAGTCGTTTAGGACGAAATTGAGAAAAACCACTATAGTGGAGGACGATTTTGGGTATTAACTCTCTCTCTCTCTCTCTCTCTCTATATATATATATATATATATATATATATATATATATATATATATATATATTCCAAGATATGATGTTTAGTAATGTACGCAAAAATATGTTTAGTGGTCAGGAAAATTTCATATCATACTGGTCAAAACTAATAATGGTCAAATAAGCTAAAATTAGCTTATAGGTTAACTGTTTTACCAAACAGAGTCATTATTTTAATATCTCCATTGCCTCCATATACAGCTATACTTACAATAAGGAATCAAAACGACTAATCATGTATCGTCATTGACGACTAATCATGTATCATCGTTGAGATAAATGACTAATCATATATCGCGATTGAGAAAAACAACTAATAATCATATATCGTCATTGACAAAAACAACTAATCATATATCGTCATTGACAAACTATGATGACCTACAGAGGGCTTGTTCCAACGGAAACGTTGTATCATGAGTGGAGTATAACAACTAAGTTATCACCAATAGTGATCTTAGTTTATAGATGCTACAAATGAGTTGGGACTTTGTGTAAATTGGTTATAACTAGGTGCTCATATAGTTATAAGTAGTTGCACCTAGATGCATGAATGTTAACACGGTAAAATTACATGCACTTGTAAGAGATTTTACCTGCACTTTTTACTTGTAAAGGTGCATCAGCTACTTGCACTTATAACACATTTAGGCACTCACAACACTACAAAGCTGACCAAATACTAGGCTTGGAACCCATTCTGATTGTTAGATCTGTCACCATGAACACGTGGAAGAATCAGAAGCATTACTCGAACCTCTGGTGGCAGCCTAACATCACGCGAGGGTTTATTTGGTTGGTTGACCAACGTACACAGTTTCCAAAATTCGAAGTCATAGGGTTTGTGTTCTTCGCCTGACTGAATTGCCTAACGCATTAATGCTAAATCCATAAATCCAGTTGCGGAACATAATGATGATTTTTGAAACCCGCCACACCATGGGCGGGAACATCACAATAAGTACCTGGATAAATTACAGTAGTGAGAGTGACGAAATAGTCCCGTGCACCAGTAAAATATGACACACTTTATGTTATGGATCATTTCAACAAGGGTAACCATGGACAATTATTATTCACTGATTGATATGAATTCCCATTAGATATTTTAGCTTATTTGACCATTATTAGTGTAATGGTATGAGTGTTGCCTATGAGAGTCATTTGAGTAAACTCCCAATGTTTTGTGCACTCACCACACCAAAATATACACTACATCACCAATCCTAGTGCACATGACTAGCACAGTAGCATTCCCCTATATTAGGAATAGGGGAATGCAAATATAGGGGAATGCGAATTTGCTGTTATGATACCCATGTTTATTCTGTTATTGAACCCAGCGCCAAGGATATACCAATTGAATTAATGGCATAAATAATTGGTCATCAATGTATTACACTATCATGTAATAATTAAGATGGGATATTAAGTTATTATACAGTGATGGTGTATAACTTTATCAACATTATGATGATGTAATTATTGCTGTAATTATTACCATCATTGGTATATTATACTGCATAATATATGTCTTGTTGATACAATCTTTTAATCTGTTGTATCATGGGATATGGATATTGAATTCAATACTGATGCCCACTCAAACGTAATGGCCTTACTGGTGTTGTATCTTATCACTCTATGTATGACATGACCAACAGATTATCTTTTCTGATGGATTTAATTCATCCGGGATGGACCCGAATCATTAAATTCGGATAAGAATGTAATATGCACTGCTGGAAATCATCAGATTTTCGACCACCCAAAAGTGGTCGGAAACAGCCTAAATTGGGTCGGAAACCGTGTTTCCGACCACTTTTCTGACCAAAATGGGGATCCGGAAAAAGGCCCGTCGCTAATTCCGACCACAATAGAGAGTGGTCGGAAACAACGAGCACATTTTTTTAATCGTCGGAAACAAACGACGGGTTTGATACTTGGACGGATCCATATTTCCGACCACCATGTGGTCGGAAATTCCACCACCAAGATTTCGTTCGTTCCAGATTTCCGACCCATGGTGGTCGGAAACTAATAAATAAATAAATATATATATATATATATATTTTGTAATTTACAATTTCTATTGCTACTTTTCCTACAAATTATACACTGCTTTACCAATTTTAAAACTAGTAATTTCATAACACAAATATTATACATTTCAATATCAAATTTAATTATACATAATGTTGCAATTCTAATATCCACCATCATTCAAAATGTGCTAATACAATCAAAATATTTCCTAAATCACAAAAAAGTTAGAAGCTTGGATCTATTGTTGAAGATCATCTAACCCATCACAAAAAAAAAGTTAGAATCTTGGATCTATTGCTCAAGATCATCTAACCCATCACCAAAAAAAAAAGTTAGAATGTTGGATCTATTGCTCAAGATCATCTAATCCAACACCACTATTTTCATGGCTAACAGCGGGATTAGTAGACTGAAAAGAAGGTTGATTTGCACCACGAATTGCAGCAAATTCCGCTTCTAACCATGCCATTTTTTCCTTCATTTGCTTGTTCTCTTCTTTTAGTTCCTTGATTTGATCCTCATAAACTGCATGTGCCAATGATTGTCCGGATTTTGAATTATTTTGCGTCACAGCCTCAGGGAAGTAGCGCGGTGTATCTGATCCAAATCCATAAACAGATCCTCTTTTCTTGAGGCCACCGGCTGCCAAGAACCATGCATTTGACTCTCCAAGCTCAGGTTGAGTTTGTTGTTTTTGAATTGCAGCCTCCTATATTTAACAATTTTTACCAAACACAATCATTTTATCATCTCAAAATCTAATAAATGTTATGACAATCATGTATTAATTACAATGAAAATGATATTTTGAGTTCTGGTTTGTGAAACCAGAACTCAAATAATTTTTTGAGTTCTGGTTTCACAAACCAGCACTCAAAATGATGTTTTGAGTTCTGGTATGTGAAACCAGAACTCAAAATAATTTTTTTGAGTTCTGGTTTCACAAACCAGAACTCAAAATGATGTTTCTGCTCTAATATAATCTGCATGTTCCATCCTCTAACATGTCTAAACTAAGCATACTTTTAATTAGTTCTCAAGTCCGTATAGTTTCTGCTCTAATATAATCTGCATTCTAAATATCAGGATATGGGGTATTCTTACTACTATATTTGGATGTTGGCACAAGTATATTATGGAATATACTTTTTAAAACAAGTAAAACTGCTTTACTAGGCCTACACTTTTAATTCTAGGAAAAGTTTTAGTATCTTACATTTACATGATCAGCCTTTTTGCAAACAAACTCATTTGTCTTTTTGCGTTTGTGAGTTGCTTGGAACAACACTGCATGAGAGGGCTCTTCTCCAGACTTTTCTTTCTATCCAAGACAATAAACCAAATATTAATGTTGTTGTTTAACTATAAATTGTATTTAAATAGTAGTAAATGACTTACTATTCTTCTCCTATGCTCAGAAATGGAGATTGAACCTGCAGTGTGCAGTGATGGTCCCAATCCCCCGCAATCTGAATTTCTATTTCTTTTGTTCTTCGCAGCAGTCTTCTTAAACTCCTCTGTATTCCAAATGCTGCGGTATTGGGCCAAAACCTGATCATTCATCCAATTTGGTGGTGCATGGCCTCTTGCCAAATTGATGCGAACCTGCCCCAACGTGTCAGATAATCTTCTAGCAGCCTTTTTGTGGAATATACTCTGAATTACTGCCTCATCTTCTGGATTCCACTTATACTTTTTCTTTGATAAGATTAAAAAAAATCAAATTATAATTAGTAAATGTATAAAGTAATAGTTATAGCATCTGGAGCATAAAGTAGGTATAAAGTAATTAGTAAAGGTATAAATTATCAAATGTATATATTAGTAGTTCCCTATGGTAATTATAAAGTAATTTACTAATAGCAGTTATAAAATAAGTTACCCTGAATTCATTAAACCATACGTCCTTCATATGTGTAGGAGCATCATTGTATGATTTTATAGCATCTGGAAATATTTTAGTTACATAATCGATAACTTTATTCGCACGCCATGGCTCAAACCTATAACAAATTATAAATGTTAGAGATAAATGTTAAACACATTATAATTATTATAGTTATCAATATAAGACTTACAAATTATTCCCAATGGGGCGTACTATGGGCCTGTTGCTTGGTGAAGTTGGAGGTGATGGAACATCATTTGGTAAGGCTGATATAGTTTGCTCCGAATCACTATTTCGGCTGGACTGTGGGAGAGTATTTGATGGTGGACTTTCAGAGTTAGATATTGGTGGTTGGGACATCAACGTTGTACTATTTTGCCTTGCACGTTGAGACATTTTCTGCTTAAAATTCAAAGAAAGTTAGTAGTGTAAAATGCCATTTCTAAATTTTGTGTTTGTAAATGATCATTTTGAGTTCTGATTTGTGAAACCAAAACTCAAAATGATCTTTTGAGTTCTGGTTTCACAAACCAAAACTCAAAATGATCTTTTGAGTTCTGGTTTCACAAACCAGAACTCAAAATGATGTTTTGAGTTCTGGTATGTGAAACCAGAACTCAAAATAATTTTTTGAGTTTTGGTTTCACAAACCAGAACTCAAAATGATGTTTTGAGTTCTGGTATGTGAAACCAGAACTCAAAATAATTTTTTGAGTTCTGGTTTCACATATCAGAACTCAAAATGATCTTTTGAGTTCTGATTTGTGAAACCAGAACTCAAAATGATCCTTTGCTCTGCAGACTCTCAAATTATCTACACATCTGCAGTTTTTTTGAGATTACAGATGAGCATCCAGCCTGCAATTTACTTCAGCTCCATTCAACAACACCTGCAAAGAAAGGCTTCATCCCTGCACTAAAGTGCAGATCTGCCAACAACATTTGCACAGCATATCAGCTCAAAGCCTCATCTATGCTGCCAGTACCCAAACAAAGTGTAAACCCTCAGAGACTGCCCAGAGTAGCAGCCCATCATTGGGTTGGTTACACATAATACATTCTCAAGTCCCCATAAATTATACAACAAAGCACAAACCAGAAATTTAGAACATAATCTATATTCACATAGTTTCTTCCATTAACCTTCAATACAAAACAATTTCATCCAGAAATTTCAATTTTAAAGGAATGAATAGAATGCTTACAGTTTTTTTCCCGTGAAGTTAATCTTGCTTAGTCTACTGCATTGTTTTTCCTAGGAGTGAGGACACATGACAAGTCATTTAGGGATGGTCAAATGGAAGCTTGATAAGCAACAACAACACCAAGAACATGAGGACCTAAATTCGAACAAGAAATAGAATTAAAAATCAGCAATTTAGAACATAATCTATATTCAAAAATTTAGAATAGAAATTTCACAAACCAGAAATTTTGAGTTCTGGTTTCACATAGTTTCTTCCATTAACCTTCAATACAAAACAATTTCATCCAGAAATTTCAATTTTAGAGGAATGAAAAGAATGCTTACAGCTTTTTTTAGGGATGGTCCAATGAAGCTTGATAAGCAGCAACAACATCAAGAACATAAGGACCTAAATTCGAACAAGAAATATAATATTTCAGAATCCATTAAAAAAAACCCTAAATTCGATTAGGGACTGTGTTACTCAAACATTGAATTAGAAAGTACCTGGGGTTTCAGAATACGAGATTAGGGACTGTCGACTGCCATTGTTGTGCTACTGCCGGTGCTGGAGGTGTGAAGGAGGAAGTAGGCGGTGAAGGAGGAAGTGGGTCGTGTGAAGGAGGAAGTACGCGTGAAGTGGGAGAGAGAAGATGGAGAAGTGAAGTGGTGGAGGGAGAGGGAAATCTAAGTAGTGGAGGGAGAGATCAGACTTAATGAAATTTTCCAAAATTTTAGATTTCCGCCATTTTTATTTTTTTTTTGGGCTAATTCTTTTTTTTTTTTACAATTACTTAAATTTTTCTTAAACACTAATTAAAATTAAAATAAACATTAAAATAATTTAAATTTCAACTCTAAATTAAAAATCACCCTCATCATTCTCTGATTCCTCATTATCATCTTCATCACCAATATCTCCACTATCATCTTCATCAGAATCATCACTGTCATCTTCTTCAATTTCTTCAGTATCTTCTTCTTCTGAATCTTCAATTTGGACACCTTGGTTGGACCATTGATTTCCGATGTGAGGTAATTCCACTTCATTCATTTGTAATGGTTCGTGCACTAACTCTTGCACGTCATCTTGAATACTTTGATCACCCCCATATGTAGGCAACGATATGTTATCTTGTTGATATGTGTAACTAGAGCTATAGGCACTATCAATAGTTCCTCTTGGGCGTACATTCAAGACTACCCACCAATTTATTTTCTCCCGTATACCCCGTGGGTATGGAATATAACACACCTGACATGCGCTTTGTGCAATGATAAAAGGATCATATTTCCTATATCGTTTATTGCAATGCACCTCAGCGATGCCATATTCAGAATTGAATATTGATCCAATATTGGGTGTTGGGTCAAACCACTCACACTTGAAGATAACAACCTTTTTTATTGGAACATTGGGGTACTCAACCTCAACAACCTCTTGCAATTTGCCAAAAAAATTTGATTCAAATTGTGTTAAACCTGTTCCCTTGATTGACACTCCGTAGTTAGCAGTCGACTTTCTACGGCAATATTCTTCAGTCTGAAACTTAAAACCATTAACGACATACCCAGTGTATGTGTTAACCTCCATTATCGGCCCAGATGCCAAATCAATGAGTGATTGGTTACACACATTGTTCGTTGGACAATATACCTAATAATAAATACAAAGAAAATGTCACATAACAAAAAAATATAGATAATAATGAATCAAAAATGACAAAGTGAATTAACTTCTTACATATTCTTTAAACCAATGTGCAAAATTTCTTTCAACTTCATTGTCTACATCTTCATCAGTACAACCAGGATTGTAACGTCGTAAACCATTTTCATACATCCTACAATACTGATATTAGATATATATATATATATATATATATATATATATATATATATATATATATATATATACACACACACACATTTGAAATCAAAATGGGAAAAAGTGGAGTACACATACCTTAAAATCGGTTGAACCTCCTCACAATTCAGTAACACATATTGATGAGCGGTGAAACGTTCTTCTACACTCAAATATCTTGTCTTTCTCCTGCCCATCGACCGACCAGGTCGATTGAATATTGACAAAGTAACTGGCAAGTTCTGATCAATGCCGCCATCATTTAGGTTCCGACCTATCCTTGTTCTTCTACTTTGCACATCATCTTCAAAATAAAATGATGCAAAGTGTGTTGCCTCTTCAAGCATATATGCATCGGCAATTGAACCTTCAACATATCTCTTATTTTTCATTTTGGACTTCAAGTTATTGAGGAAGCGTTCAAATGGATACATCCAACGATATTGTACTGGGCCACCTAAACGTGCTTCATAGGGAAGATGGACAGGCAAGTGTTCCATGCAATCAAACAGTGCTGGAGGGAAAAATCGTTCTAACTTACACAATGTTAAAACAATTGAGTTTTCCATTTCCTGTATTTTGTCTACACGTAGGGATGTAGAGCAAAGATTTCTGAAAAACGCACTTAACTCAGTCAAAGGCTTCCAGTGACAGCTTGGTAAAAACATGAAGGCTACAGGCATAAGAAACTGCATAAAAATATGACAATCATGACTTTTCATCCCTATTAATTTAGAAGATGTGGAATCAACACATGTAGCCAAATTAGAAGAAAACCCATCAGGTAACTTCAAAGTTCGTAACCACTCATAGACAGCTAATTGATTAGTACGATTCAAACTGTAACTTGCCTTGGGCATAAGATAACGTCCATTCTTTTCCACCAACTCAAGTTCGGGCCTATTACACACGTCCTTCATATCGAGACGTGCATTAGGCGTGTCTTTATTTTTAGCTGTGCCTTTGACATCCATAACTGTGTGGAAAATGTTATCAAACACATTTTTCTCTATATGCATCACATCAAGATTGTGACGTAACAAATTATCCTTCCAATAAGGCAAATCCCAAAATATGCTTTTTTTTTTTCCAGTTGTGTGCTTGTCCAAACCCCTCAATGCGACCAATTGGACCATCAATAATCCTTGGGATAATTTCCAAACTATGAAACAACTCATCTCCTGTCCAAATTGGTTGAGGTCTTGATTTCTCAGCTCGTTGTTTGACGAAGGTATCTCGATTCTTCCTCCAGGAGTGATTCATTGGAAGGAATTGACGATGACAATCAAACCAACATGTTTTATGACCATTCTTCAGATAAAATGATTTAGAATAATGAAGACAATAAGGACATGCTAGTTTTCCGGCTGTCTGCCATCCAGATAACATACCGTATGCAGGAAAGTCATTGATGGTCCACATTAACGCAGCGCGCATCATAAAATTTTGTTTAAGTGATGCATCATAAGTTAAGACACCTGTTTCCCATAACAATTGAAGTTCATCAATTAAAGGCTGAAGATAGACATCAATATTGGCCTTTGGATTCTTCGGTCCAGGAATAATACAGGTTAAGAATGTGTATGGTGTAGTCATACACATTGAAGGTGGGAGATTATACGGAACAACCATAACAGGCCAACAAGAGTACGGCTTTGCATTGAAACCAAAAGGAGTAAATCCATCAGAACATAAGCCCAGTCTTACATTTCGGGGATCTACTGAGAAATCAGGGAACCTTCTATCAAAGTGCTTCCATGCTTCACCATCAGAGGGATGACACATAATACCAGGTTCGCGACGATTTTCATAATGTCATCGCATGTGTGAAGCAGAGCTATGTGATGCATACAAACGTTGCAATCGAGGAATGAGAGGAAGGTAATGCATTCTTTTGCGAGGCACCTCTTTTGCACGAGTAGATCCAGATGGGCAAGGTTTAAATCTTGTCTCACCACAAAACTTACAGTGCTTGTCATTTATTTCAGACTTATAGTACAACATACAATTGTTTACACAACAATCAATCTTCTCATGTCCAAGACCAAGCTTTGTAAGTAACTTTTTTGCATCATAATACCTGGTAGGTACTCGATTATCGGGACCCATCAAATGGTTAATATACTGAAATATCTGATCCATTGCTAGCTGTGGTATATTAAAAGTTGTCTTGATATTCATCATCCTCAATGTATATGCCAGCTCTATTTCTTCATTAACATTCATTGATAAAGGTTGTCTCGCAGCATCTAACAATTCGTAGAAGTTTTTTGCACTACTATGTGGTTCTTCATCTTGGTCATTTTCGACATTTAATGGAAAAAATGATGGACCAGATGCATCAAAAACCATTTGTTCATATTGGTTATTTTCACTAGGGCCCTCATTCATGTGTGGTTGTATTGAAGGTGGAAGCTCACCGTGACATGTCCAAATCCAATAACTTGGTTCAAAACCCTTCCTATATAAATGAACACGAACATCATCTGCAGACAAGTGTACTCTATTCTTACACTTACTACATGGGCACCTAATCTTCATTGAAGCCTTGTATACAGGAAGTGTGCTTGCATAATTTACAAATTCCTCAACACCCAATAAGAACTCATATGTGTACCCCCTTTTTCCGGGTAACAATCGATTATACATCCATTTCCGATGTTCAGGTATATTAGCCATGTAAAACAACTGTAAAAACATATATACAGTGCAAACACAAATATAAAAGTATTAAAAATAATACTAATATTTTAAATAATCATATACACTCATACTAATAATTAGACACATATAAAATGTCATTTGTAAAAAGTACAAATATATAAATAATTATAAACATACTCACATATACATATATGCACACTATACATTCTTCAATCATATTAAAATAAATAATCTAAATAAGTATTCACAAAAATATATTTAAAAAATCAAACTAGATCTAAGGAAAAAAAAATCATACTAGTTAATAGACACACATATAAAATGTAATTTTAAAAATGTACAAATATACAAATAATTATAAACATATTCACATAAATACACATATACATATATGCACACTATACATTCTTCAATCATATTAAAATAAATAATTTAAATAAGTATCCACAAAAATATATTTAAAAAATTAAACTAGATCTAAAAAAATTCACACTAGTAAATAGACACACACATATAAAATGTAATTTTTAAAAAGTAAAAATACACAAATAATTATAAACATATTCACATACACACATATACATTCTTCAATCATATTAAAATAAATAATCTAAATAAGTATTCACAAAAATATATTAAAAAAATTGAACTAGATCTAAAAAAAAGTCTTAATAAATAGTAGATTTAAGAATGTAAACACATATCTTAACTTGATATGATGTAGTACAACTTGCTTTTAGCACTATTATGCATGAATTATTGAAAGAAAACCTGCAAAGAAGAAAAAAAGCAGTAGAAGGGGGTAAAAAACAGAGAAAATAGGTCTGGAAATACGCAGTGGAAGCATTTATATATAAAGGTATTTCCGACCACCATTAATTGTCGTCGGAAAAAATATATTTAAAATTCAAACCGCCGACAGTTTCCGACCACTGTTACCATGTGGTCGGAAGTTCCGACCACCTACTAATAATGGTCGGAAATTCCGACCCCGTTCCGACCCCCTTACCCATTCGCCGGAAAATTGCAAAAACGATGATTTTTCCGACCACTTTTTGTGGTGGTCGGAAAAGTGGTCGGAAATACGATGATTTCCAGCAGTGATGGATAATAAATAAACGTAGCGGAACGATGTTGTAACAGGTCGTGAAGACAGTATATTATATTAAATGCTGTGAATAGGCTATTACAAGGTTTGTTTCATACAGAGTATGTAGGAAAAATGATTAGATGTCCTAAAGAGACAAGGTGGGGGAGTTTTATACAGCCCCCACCCCTAACCGCCACCCCCTAAGGTGGGGGTGGTTAGATCCGCGTTGACCGTGCCCCCTTGACCAATTCCCAGGTTGGCCTTTTTATGGCCGACCCCTCTAGGTCGGCACCTGCTCCTGGCCGAGGCCTCGTGGGTCGAGGTCTACTGGGTCAAGTCCCACGGGCCAAGGCCTATTGGGCCGAGGCCTAGGGTCTTGCTCCACCTCTCCAGGTCGGTTTGCTCCACCTCTCCGGGTCTTGCTCCACTTCACCGGGTCGGTTTGCTCCACCTCTCAGGGTCTTGCTCCACCTCACCGGATCGGTTTGCTCCAGTCGTAATATATCCATCATTTTCAAAGCATTTTCTCGTATAGAGATGTGTAATAGCTGTATGTGTATATTTGTATCTTTATTATAAATTATAGGTTAGCTTCTCAATGTAATTAGAACTCTTTGACTATTAGAAGTGTTTTAATTTACATCGGTAATAGACAATATATTAGCCACAATTAATTCAAGGAGCATACTACCTAATGGTCCTATGCAGTCCACTGTCAACTTCTCATGATTACCTCACGATGTAAACTAGTTGGCTTAATGATGTGATACCAAATATATGCCTTATGTAGAGTTTCCATCTACAGACAATATCACATAAAATTTTACTTACCCATATTATTATTATCTCGATTTCTCTTATGATGTAATTATCTACGTGGTCAGGGTTCACACTGTTAATAATACATATCTGTTGTTTGACACATTAATGTAATAATTATGGTGTCGTAACATGCCCCTTATTGATATTCCTACCACTACTGGAAATTATGGAATTTCCGATCACTTGGAAATGATCTTATATCAAGTCGAAAGCAAAAAGTGGTCGGAAATAGCAATAAAGGTTTTTCCGAATACCAAAAGTGATCGGAACAAGGCTTTCGATTTGATTAAGATCATTTTCAGGTGGTCGGAAATTCTATAATTTCCAGCAGTGATACTCCTTGATATATTTTAATTATTAATATTTGCATATCAACTATGGCATGAATTAGTAGGAGCACTTGAGAGGGAATCATCCGGAATTGGCTAATATTTTTCTAATAATTGTGGATAACCACGTCCACACTGTCCCTAACATTATTTAGTTGGATATTTGTGACACCCCGTAAATTCAAACTCTAATCAAGGATTAATTAGATAATTAATCCT